CTTTCTGTGTCTTGGAGGCTGGAAAGTTTGGATTCCAGTTGTATGCCCAATCACAGCAGCACATCTAAAAATCTGCCCTTATTTTTGCTAACCCAAATGAGATACTGTGGCAAAAATCTCAGTCATCTGAGGTTTATTGAGCCAGAGCTTGAGGGTGTGACTGAGAAGAATGCAACAGCCCAGCGGGTTCACTTTGTCGGCTGCCTAGACAGAGCTGATTTCTCAAGACAGGGGAATTGCAATAGAGAAGGAGTAATTCACACAGAGCCGCTCTGTGGGTGACCGGAGTTGTTTTATTGTTATTCAAATCAGTCTCCCGGAGCATTTGGGGAGCAGAGTTTTTAAGGACAACTTGGTGGATGGGGGAAGGCCAGTGAGTTGAGAGTGCTGTTTAGGTGGGTCAGAGATTAAATCATAGGGAATTGACGTCCTCTTGTGCTGATTGAGTTCCTGAGTGGGTGCCATAAGATCAGAGGACCAGTTTATCAGTCCGGGTGGTACCAGCTGATCCATCAAGTGTACCATCTGCAAAATATCTCAAGCACTCATCTCAGGAACAGTTTAGGGAGGGTCAGAATCTTGTAGCCTCCAGCTGACTCCTAAACCATGATTTCTAGTCTTGTGGCTAATTTGTTAGTCCTACAAAGGCAGTCTAGTCCCCAGCCAAGAAGGAGGTTGGTTTTGGGAAAGAGCAGTTATCATTGTTTTAAACTATAAAGTAAGTTTCTCCCAAAGCTAGTTCAGCCTACACCTAGGAATGACCAAGGATAGTTTGGAGGTTAGAAGCAAGATATGGAGTTGGTTAGGTCAGATCTCTTTCACTGACTCAGTTACAATTTTGCAGTGTCGGTTTCAAGAACATCAGTTACGGAAACATCTGTGGCTTGAAGCAGAGGTTTCTGGGCGACTCAGGATTTATATTCTCTTTTAAAGGAAAGAAAGCATGTAGGAAGAGGTGGGTAGCCAGCCAGTGAGGCAAATGGTTACATTTTTGTGAGATTTTAATTAGTGCCCAGTCAATCTACATTTTATATAAAATGAGGTGAACATTGGAAGAAAAAAGGGAGAGTAAAGGAAGCATCAGTTATGCAGATGTCTCAGGTAGGTGGAAGAATGGTCTCATCTTCTGGGAAGAATGATTCTCATCACTTGGGATGATGAGCTTGCAATCAACATTATCAGTGTGAAATCTAACAGACAGATGTTAGTTGTAGAAGCTAGACTTAGATTGAAAACCTAAGTTACAATGGACATGTCCTTGCTTTACAGGAGGATATGCATCTTGAAGGGTTTCAAGACCAGCAAAGAATTTTCCATGGGGGGTCTGGCTGATGGATAATACTTTGACATAAGGTTGTAAAGCAACAGCTATTCATTTGGGAAAAGGATGGCCAGTGTTGCATGACTGTCTTCAGGCTTAACCTCCTCATTGGTGTGATGAGTTTGGGGGTCCCGAGATGTTTTATTTTTCCATTATATTATCTTAGTTCCATTTCCCTCATTAAAACTCCTGTTATTAACTTTGGTGCCCTGGTTCCTTTTTGTGCTTTTAAAGTTCTCTAATACTTGTTGTCCCAAAGACCACCAGGATGGCTAAATAATAGAAAGGACAGCTTTATTGGCAATAGTGATTTGCAAGCCTGAAAGAGACAGTCTCCAGTGTGCACTGAAGGTGCTTTCTCTTGGAAGAGGAGAAGGACAGGTTGGGTTTTATGTTTCACAAGGCTGGCATCATACATATTTGGCAGGTTTGGGGGCAAAGCTATACATCTTTGTGAGGGGAGCCTACATGCAGACTAGGTAAGCATATATGTAACATACATCACATGTTCACTTTGGGGAGAGTTCTAGCATTAAAATGAGGTGGAATTCGGCTGTTTATGTCAAAAGGTCAACTATAGAACACAAAAACAGTTTGTGCACTGTCTGTATAAGCTGCTGAAACTGGCCTGAGGTCTGCAGTAGCTTATCCAAAAAGAACGTCTGTAAGGCTGGTCCGGTCCTCTGTCCAGTCAGGACCATAGTGGTCTGGGTTGTAAATCAGCTTAATATCTCAGAAAGGAATTCAGAAATCTGCCATGTCCGCCAGGCTCTGAACCCTTGACCTATAGATAACTTTTGTTTCCTTAACCTTGGGGCCCATCTCGGTTGCTAAAGGGGTGTCTTGGTGTCTCAGATCATATGCTTTTAGAAAAATTTTTAGAAATCAAGGTTTTTACTTAGACTTGTAATAAGTGACTCGATTGCTTTCCATTTTCTTCTATTTATAAAATACTTTAGAAAGTGTCAACCTAAAATAACAGAGAAGCTCTCCAGCAAAATGAGTTTATTTGGAAAGGAATGACAGGGGATTGCAATCTGGGAATTCCTGTGCTATGGAGAACCATGGCTGGGCCATAGATGTATTTAGGAAGGCAAGGAAAGTCGAGAGTTTCTTTTTTTTTTTTTTTTTTTTTTTTTGAGACGGAGTCTCACGCTGTTGCCCAGGCTGGAGTGCAGTGGCGCGATCTCGGCTCACTGCAAGCTCCGCCTCCCGGGTTCCCACCATTCTCCTGCCTCAGCCTCCTGAGTAGCTGGGACTACAGGCGCCCGCCACCGCGCCCGGCTAATTTTTTGTATTTTTAGTAGAGACGGGGTTTCACTGTGGTCTCGATCTCCTGACCTTGTGTTCCGCCCGCCTCGGCCTCCCAAAGTGCTGGGATTACAGGCTTGAGCCACCGCGCCCGGCTGAGAGTTTCTTAAAGGCAAAATGAGGAAGGCTATATAAGTTATTTTGAAATACTTTTCCCTGGCTACAAGGATCGGTAACAACAGTGGCATCAGTCTGAAGTTGAACAGGCTGGGTATTGTTCTTGCAGAAGCAGTTTGTTTTTGTTCTTGAGATGGGGATGCCACTCTGTTGCTCAGACTGGCCTTGAGCTCCGGGGCTCAAGCGATTAGTGGTCTTTTTGCAACGCTGTGGTTTTCAGAGTCCTTATTACAGTTTCTGTGCTAGGCACGCGTGCCTGAGAGCCCCTCCTCTGTTGCCTACGATCCCATTTTGGTAGGATGTGGCCTAAGTGACTCCATTTTGGTTCTCATGGCTTTCACAAAAGCATTACTTGCCAATCCTTGTATCTTTAGGGTGACCCTATAACTTTATGTTTAATTCTAACTGATCTGTACCCCAGTTGGTTTGTATATATGCACATCTTAGTTCCTTGAGAATGCTGGAGAGCCAGGTGTGGCATTTGCACCTGCACTACAAAATTATATTACATGATACCATTTTTTATAGTACATGATACACATGTAAATATGATATTTACAGCTCACATTTCATTGGTTGCATTTGTGCTGTTTCCTAACGGTGCCTACAGAGGCGCCTTCCAGCAGGTACACAATCTCCCTCATTAGGCCATCACAGCTCAAAGACTTCTCTCTAAGCAACTGAACTCTCCCAAGGCCAGACTGTTTCCTGCTCTGGGCTCCTCCCATCCTCCTGTCTTGGCTTAGCCTGTCTGACTCTGACTCTGTTCCTGAGCTTACTGGGAACAATTGTGCTAAACGGAAGGGCCAGGCTGATGAACAACATTGTCACTGTCTCCCAGGCCCCCCAACCCCATTTTCTAAGCAGTTGTTAATTGAGAAAACTAAAGAATTATGGGGCTATGATGGCCCTTGTGTTTTGTAAGAGTCATGCTGAAGAAACACCTTATGTGCTGCTTAAATCAAACAGTGGAGTCATGTTTTGTATTAAAGACAAGCACCTGCAGAAAAGAGCTCACCCTAGGGAGGCGGGGTGGGGGTGGGGGTGGGGAAGGGATAGAGCGTGGGGGTGGGGAAGGGATAGAGCGTGGGAGTGGGGGTGGGGAAGGGATAGAGTGTTGGGGGGAAGGGTCGAGGGTGGGGGTGGTTGGGGGAAGGGTCGGGGGTGGTTTGGGGAAGGGTCGGGGGAGGGGGTCGGGGAGAAGTGTCAGGGGTCCCGGGAAAGGGCGGGGATGGGGGGAAGTGTCGGGGGAAGGGTCGAGGGTGGGCGTGGGAGTGAAGGGTTGAACGGCAGGGGTGGGGGTAAGGAAGGGTCGAGCGCAGGGCTGTTGGGGGAAGGGTGAGGGTTGTAGGGGAAGGGTAGAGGGCGGGGGTAGGGGGGAGGGGGGAAGGGTCGAGTGCCGGGGTGGCAGAGGAGGAAAAGCTGGGGGTGAGCAGGAGGACGTGCGGGGGAGGGGGAAAGCGCGCGCGAGAGGATCAGGCGCGCGTGGCACACCCCTGGAGGATCAGGGGCGCGTGGCACACCCCTGGAGGATCAGGGGCGCTGGAGGGTTAGAGCACGCTTGATGGAAGATCAGGGGCGCTGGAGGGTCAGGGGCGCGCTCGACGGAGGGTCAGGGACGCTGGAGAGTTAGGCGCGCCCGATGGAGGATCAGGGGTGCTGGAGAATTAGGCGCGCGTCTGGTGGAGGGTCAGGGGCGTGCCTGATGGAGGATTAAAGGCGCTGGAGCGTTAGGCGCGCGCCTAATGGAAGATTATGAGAGCTCGAGGGTTAGGCGCGAGCCCGATAAAGAGTCAGGGGCGTGCCCGATGGAGGATTAGGGGCACTGGAGGGTTAGGCGCCCGCCTGCTGGAGGATACGGGGTGCCAGAGGGTTAGGCGCGAGCCCGATGGGTCACAGGCGTGCCCAATGGAGGATTACGGGCGTTGGAGGGTTAGGCGCGCGCCCGATGAAGGGTCAGGGGCATGCCCGATGGAGGATTAGGGGTGCTGGAAGGTTAGGCACGCGCCCGATGGGGGCTCAAGGGCGTTGGAGGGATAGGCGCGCCCCCGATGGGGGCTCACGGGCGCTGGAGGGATAGGCGCGCGCCCGACGGGGGCTCAGGCGCGCTAGGTAGGGCGCGCGAGGGAGGGAGGACGTCTTCCGGGTAGAGGGTCGGGGAGGGAAGAGGTAGGGGAGGGTGCACAAGAAAGGGGCGCCTCTGAGGATCCGGGCGAGGGAGGGAGGGAGAGGGTGAGCCGGAGCCCCAGTGAGCAGACAGGTTTCTGTCTCTGCAGTCTAACAGGGTTACGGAACATTTCTGTCCTAGAAAGTGTAGCGCGCAGGGCCCAGTCGTGGCTTTTGTCGTGAAAGAATATATATGATGAACACATGGTTCCGTGTGGGAGAACTGCATTTCAGTCTTTCCTCCAAAGAGTGAGGGGAAGGAGAAAAGAAGCAGAACAGCGACAGCGAAAGGGAAACAGGGCTGTTTCTGGTTTGTTTTGTTTTCCCCTAGAAATGCGAGCTAACAGCATTCCTTTGCTTGCCCTGGAGGCCGTCAGTCAGGGCTGCAGTGAAGCCTGAACTTCTTGAAGGCAGGAAAATAAGGAGCCCAGAGGCGCAGACAGCAGTTGACGACTCAGGCCAAGTTATAATAAATAAAACCCTAGTGTCAAATCCCAGGTCCTTGAATTTTATCAGGGGAGGACAGGCCATTGTGAGAACAAGTAAGGAAAAGAAGTAGGTTTATCTTAGGACTTATATATGTTCTGAAGAGTTTTTTAAATGAGCAATTGGACGTGGCCGTTAAAGTTATGTTTATCTGTAATAACATAAAGGGAGACTGCTTCTAGTGGCCCCAATTTTTGTATTGAATAAGGCAGCGCATGAACGGACAGTTTTAAAAATTGTAGTGGAAATTCACAAGTACACGTCTGAACAGAGTGGAGCCGAAGCCGCCCTCTAGCAACAGGTGGGCGGCAGCTCAAAGGACCCCGTTTCCACCTGAGGCAATGTCTCCCTTGTTAGGCTCCCGCCAACAGGGATCATAAAAGCCTGCCTCCGAAATTCTGAACGTGAAGGGCCTCAGGGGCAAGCAAGTGCTTGGTGAAACCCTGTTCTTCAAATTAACTTCCATCCCTCACATATTTCCAGCCTACATCTAGTGAAAATGGCTAATGGGGTAAAGTAACATCTAAAACCTGCTTAGAGAACCGTTTTGTCTCGCTCCCACTTGCAGATGGTGTTTTTTGGCTACATGGTTTTCAGTATCCTCTTTGGCCTCCTGGCTGACAGATATGGCCGCTGGAAGGTAGGTGAGCCCTCACAGTAGCTTTTGGAGTAGTCTTTCATGTATTCTTTTGGGGCAACCTTATCGCTGTTTCTCTTTAGTAGGCATCTCCCTCCTAATACCCAAGATAGAAAATGCAGATATTCCCTCCCTAATGGAACATTCCAGGCTTATCTTCTGGACATTTTTCTCAGGGTACCTGTGCCTGCGGCTGTTCCTCTGCAGTCCAGGTGTGGAGTAAAAGGAGATGCAGGTATTATAGAGTTCTAAGAAATCTCTACCAAGAAGGACTAAAGGAATGAAGGCCGCTAAGTGGCTCTATTTGAACTTTTAAAGGTTGGGACTTAGAAGCAGTCATGGCTTGGTTAGATGCCTCCACCATGTCCAGTTTACTGTGGTGGGTTGAGAACAGATAGTGGCTCTGATATCTGATATCAGTGGGGGCACACATCTGTTCTCCATTTATCCGTAAGTTCACTTCTAATGAGTTAATAAGGGGAATGGAAGAGGCCCCTTTTGCCCTTCAGAGCAGCCCTGTTGGGAGGTTTTTTCCCTCTGGTTTTTGTTTAAGTGACTAGTCCACTGCTGCAGCAGCAAACTCAGAAGAAGCTGTTCTTTCAGGGAGACAACTACGTGCCATGAATGAATGTCCATAAAGTCTCTAGCCCCCCAGAGCACCCAAGTGGGTTCGGAGGGAGCAAGTCTCCCTTAACTTCGGGGCGAGAAAACTCACCCTCAGACACCTATCTGAGACTAGCAGGAACTGGTCACAAATGAGAAGACAAGTCCAAATTACAATCAGTGGGAAACAGGAGCAAGTTTTAAAGCCTGTGATGGAATTTTAGGACAAGAATAAGTCAAACCACTAGTGCTGGATGGCCAAGACCATAAGCCAAACCTGCTCTCATGAGGCAGAGGCTGAGAAAACAGAAGTCCTCTGCGGAGCCATTCGCCTGAATGTCCTGTCCAGGGACAGAAATGGAAGCCCTTGCTCTTAAATGAGAGAGTTTATAAAGAAGCCCCCCAAACTCTGGACCTCAACCTAAAGGAAAGGAGGGCCAGATTCAGAAAGATTCACCCTTTTGCCCCCAGTGAAATCTCTGCAGTTAGGGGAACACAGTGGGTTCGTGCAGCAAGTTCAGGAGGAGACTGTGGGTAATTGGGGGGGTAAAGGGTGGTGTTGCTCTGAACCCTGCCAGCTATGCCAGAAATATTGACCTAAAGGAAGAAACAGAGGCAAAATTAATTTAAGTAGGGAGTTTATTTGGACCAAGATTGAGGATTGCAGCCCAGAGGTCATACAGTCCAGTTGCCCTGAATAGATGCTCCGATTAGCAGCAGTGACAACTGGGTTTTTTAAAGGAGGGGAGAAAAGAATTTGGGGGCACTTCCTAAGTTATTTACTAATAATTTACATTGGTTCATTAAAATGGTAAGCTATCAGCTGATTCTACATCGCTCTTTGTGTCACAAAATCTAAAAACATGGAGATAATGGATGAGCGTCACATTGTGCAACTTGTGGTTAACATTTTAAGTGATTTATCAGCTAGTCTGGAAACTACAGGGAAGGTAAGAAAAACAAAATGCCTTTATACAATTACCCTGGGCATGGGTGCGGTAATGTGACTGGAGTCGCATGCTCCTGTGTCTCTGGACCTGATAAATTCTGCATACCTCACATTCCTCAGACTGCTCTGAGCCGCTTTTCTTTCTCAAGTTGATGGATGTATGGAGTTAAAACATATTAGAATGAGGACATTTGCAGGTATAAACATAAGCAGCTACACATTTAGCTCACGTTGGTATAACTTTGAAACTAGCTACTTGCTCAAAGTCACGTACCTACTAAGATTAAACATCAAGACATAAATTATGTCTTCTGGTTACAAACCCAGGTCTGTCTTTTCTATTTGCTTGATTTCTGGTGAAATCTTCTCTAAGCATAAACACAAATGGAGGAACCTCAAAGGAAAACATTAATAGAATTGGCTGTATGTTTTAAAGTACATGAAATAAATATCATAGATTATTGTAAATTTGAAAACACAAATATCTCAAAAAGCACAAAAAAGGCATTTTATGAAAGAAATACAAATTGTCAAGAAACCTTGGAAAAAACATTAAAGCACAGGAGTTATCAAAAACAAAATACATAGTAAGATATAATTTTTCCTTATCAAATATGTAAGGAACTTTTTCCTTAAAGAGTCCTGCACCATTGAAATGGACATTTTCATGCCTTGCAAGTATATAGACACCCTTATTATGTACCCTATTGGTGTTATTATATCATTATTATTATATAATATTATTAAACCCTATTGGTATAATTTTTTCTGACCATCAGCTTGGCAGTATGAATCAGGAACCTTGAAAATATTCTGCTAACCTGAACATTTGTCTTCCAGAAATCTAGCTTGCTAAAGATATCAGGGCATAACGACTTATGCAGATATCGTCCCAGCTTATTTTAATAATGAGAAGATCTGAAACAACTTTAACAGTAGAGCAAGGTCTTATGTATTACATTACATGTATGAAAGTACATCTTTCCACTGCAATATTTACAGCCATTAACACTTTGTTTTCTCTTACAAACAGAGAAGATAAAACAGTGTTAAGAGTATTTTCTCTGGGTTGGACAATGGTGATTTCAATTTTTACGTTTTCTTTTTTCTTCTGGATTGTTTACTATGAACTTATATGATCCTTATAATTAAAGAAAAAGCAAATACCTTAAACGTTCTCCTTGTACTCCTCCCAACATACTGCCTCGTTCTGTCCCCAACAGCCCTGTGAGTAGGAAGGACACGTTTTTGCCTTTTGATGTCCAAGTTCAGGGACCTGCCACCCGTGAGGGTGGGCACAGCAGGGTAGTTTTAAAGAACGGTCTGAACTTGGTGGGTCTGGGCTTCCAGACAGTAGAGTGGCATGGATTGTATTGTTGGATGATTGTGAAGACCATTGGGCTGGCTATCGATTAGCTCCTCAGAGAAGCAACTATCAGAATGGAAACAGAAAATCACCTTCAGATGTTAGGGCTTCCCTCCCCGCATTGAGGCAGGTCCCATTCATGTGTTCTGTTGTTTCAGATTCTGCTCATCTCGTTCCTGTGGGGAGCCTATTTCTCCTTGCTGACCTCGTTTGCTCCTTCGTACGTCTGGTTTGTCTTCCTGCGGACGATGGTGGGCTGTGGTGTGTCCGGCCACTCACAGGGGTAAATATGTCACCCAGAGGGCCTGAGACAGAAATGTGTACCCCTGCAGGTCCTGATGCACACACCACACTTAATGGACCAAAAGCATTGTGAACCCAGCATATCTGAGACAGGTTTTGGTCCATTTAGAAAGTTTATTTTTGCCAAAGTTAAGGATGTGGCCATGACACAGCCTCAGGAGGCCCTGAGGACACATGCACAAGGTGGTCGGGGTAGAGCTTGTTTTATGCATTTTAGGGAGACGTAATAAATCAATTAATACATGTAAGATTGACATTGGTTCCATCTGGAAGGGCAGGACAACTCAAAGGGTGGGGGGCTTCCAGACCACAGGTAGATGTAAATCCAGACCACAGGTAGATGTAAACATATGACTTTTTTTTTTTTTTTGAGATAGAGTCTTGCTCTGTTGCCCAGGCTGGAGTGCAATGGCACAATCTCAGTTTGCTGCAACCTCTGCCTCCTGGGTTCAAGCAATTCTCCTGCCTCAGCCTCCAAGTAGCTGGGATTACAGATGCCTGCCACCATGCCTGGCTAATTCTTTGTATTTTTAGTAGAGATGGGGTTTTGCCATGTTGGCCAGGCTAGTCTTGAACTCCTGACCTCAGGTAATCTACCTGCCTTGGCCTCCCAAAGTGCTAGGATTACAGGTGTGAGTCACCATGCCCGGCTGATCTAAACATATTCTGATTGGCATTGGTTGAAAGAGTTGTCAGTAGAAAAGAATGTCTAGTTTAAGGCATTCTGGTCTCCACAACCAAGGTTTTATCATGCAAATGAAGCCTCCAGGTAGCCAGCTTCAGAGAAAATAGATTGTAAATGTTTCTTACCGACTTAAGGGCTGCGTTGATGTTAATACTGGAAAGGTATAATGAGGCATGTCCGACCGCACTTCCTGTCGTGGCCTGAACCAGTCTTTCAGGTTAAATTTTAGAGTATCCTGGCTGAGGAGGGAATCCATTCAGATGGTGGTGGTTGGGAGGTGAATGGGGGCGGGGGGACGGGATGCTTCAAATTTTATTTCTGATTTACAGCATTAATAAGTTACAGATGTATGGAAGTCACTTGTGCAAATTCAGTTTGAGCTTTGTTTGGTTTTTAGTGATAGCTGCTTATTTAATGCTCCAGCAGGAGCAATTTTCTCCTTAAAATGATGCTTGATGGTGAGGCTAACAGAGTGCTAGATCAAGCATGTGCTCATTTTTTCATAAGGTTATTCATTGTTTTGTAGATGTGTAATATTTTGTTACAGTAAATGCTAATGAAAAGTGCCATATTAGGTAACAAAAATGTCAACCCAGGCTGGGCACTGTGGCTCGCGCCTGTAATCTGAGCACTTTGGGAGACTGAGGCAGATCCCTTGAGCCCAGGAGTTCAAGACCAGCCTGAGCAACATAGTGAGACCCTCTCTCTTCAAAAAAAAATTTTTTTTTGAAGTCAATCCAAACATCATTTATTAATTTCTTAAATTTGTTGGAAGAGTTTAGTTTGACCATAAGCCCCTGTAACATTTAGGAGTAACTATTTTTAAGAACTATCACCCTATGATTGAAGACTCCTCTTGTAAAAGGGAGGGGGGGGAATATGTCAGATGGGATCGAACTAGAGTGACTCCATCTTGAATAGGGACTGGGTAAAATGAGGCTGAGACCTGCTGGACCGCATTCTCAGGAGGTTAGGCGTTCGTAGTCACAGGAAGAGATAGGCGATCAGCAGGACTGCTTTCACAAGATACAGGTCACAAGAGACCCCGCTGATAAAACAAGGTGTGGTAAAGAAACCGGCCTAAACCCACTAAAACCAAGATGGCGACCAAAGCGAGCTCTGGTTGTCTTCACTGCTTTTTATACTCTAATGATAATGTATTAGCATGCCAAAAGACACTCCCACTGGTGCCAGGACAGCTTGCAAATGCATGGCAATGTCCAGAAATTACCCTAAATGGCCTAAAATAGGGAAGAACCCTCAGTTGCAGGAATTCCCCACCCCTTGAATTAACAGGGCCCCTTGGGCTCTTCTCTTCTTAGTGCCTTGGAGCAGGTTATTCTTAAAATATTTTAGGAGATGTCAAAGCACCTAATTACTGCCTTCATGTGTTAGAGAAAGAATTGTTCTTCCCTGGGGCATACTGTAAACTTTGAGCTTTGAAGCCCTAAAGGAGTAGAAGCTAAGTAAAAATGTAAAACATTCCCCAGGAAACAGCTCAATAAATACGTTAAAATCCCCAAATTCTGGCTAATAACAGCAGCAGAGAAGAGCAATTAGAAAACTGATGGAATATGTTTCCATTTATTCTATTCACAAAGAAAATATGTACTTAATTAGAAACTTGTGCCTTGACTGTCCTCATGAATTGAGAGAACTATTTACCTTCTCTTGGGTGTATTTTCATTTGCCAATATGTTTTAGAAAAGAGAATCAGGCTGAGTGCAGTGGCTCACCCCCGTAATCCCAGACCTTTAGGAAGCCGAGGTGCAACAGTTGCTTGAGGCCAGGATTGGCAATATAGCAAGACCCCATCTCTACAAAAAATTAAAAAATCAACCGGGTGTGGTGGTGAGCACCTGTAATCCCAGCCACTTGAGAGGCTGAGGTGAGAGGATCTCTTGAGCCCAGGAGTGTGAGGCTGCAGTGAGCTGTGATCAAACCACCGTACTCCAACCTAGGAGACAGCCAGACTTTGTCTCATAAATAAATAAATAAATAAAAGGGAATCAGGCTTGGGAAAACATTTTGCCAGTGCTTCCCTTGGCAAAACAGATAAGGCTTATATTTCTTTCTTTTTTTTTTTTTTTCTTTTTGAGATGGAGTTTTTCTCTTGTTGCCCAGGCTGGAATGCAATGGCACAATAACGGCTCCCCACAACCTCCACCTCCTGGGTTCAAGTGATTCTCCTGCCTCAGGCTCCTGAGTAACTGGGACTACAGGCATGCGCCACCACACCTGGCTAATTTTGTATTTTTAGCAGAAACGGGGTTTTTCCATGTTGTCCAGGCTGGTCTTGAACTCCCGACCTCAGGTGATCCAGCCACCTCGGCTTCCCAAAGTGCTGGGATTATAGGTGTGAGCCACCGCACCCGGGCAGGCTTACATTTCTTAAGTGTTAGAAGGTTTCAAGTATTGGGAGTAAAGATGTAAACTCAGGAGCAGCTGTCAGTTTAGTTCTTAGTGTTCTCTTATGTGGATATTAGCTGTCACAATTCTCTTCTGATATATAATCGACATCTATGCTTTTGAATTCTTTATCCCTGTGACAAGAAAAACTGATTATTTTTTAAAAGATTATTTAGTTTTTTTAAAACGAAATTGTGCTTTTTCCCGCTTCCTGTTTAGGTTAATCATAAAGACTGAATTTTTGCCCACGAAATACCGAGGCTATATGTTACCCTTGTCTCAGGTAAGGCAACATAGGAGTTCTACCTGCCTTTGGCATCCTATGGGATATGATGTACATACAGGTATACCTTGGAAATATTGCTGGTTTGGTACCAGATGGCGGCAATTAAGTGAGTGTCAGAAGAAAGTGAGTCACACGACCTTTTTGGTTTCTCAGTGTGTGTAAATGTTATGTTTACACTATACTAAAGTTTAGTAAGTGTGCAATAGCATCATGTCTAAAAAGCAAGCTACACACCTTAATTTTAAAATATTTGATTGCTGATAAATTCTAATGATCTCCTGAGACTTTAGAGGATCATAATCTTTTTGCTGGTAGAAGGTCTTGCCTCAGTGTTGATGGCTGCTGGCTGATCAGGGTGGTGGTTGCTGAACATTGGGGTGGTTGTGGCAATTCCCTAAACAAAGATAACAATGAAGTTTGCCACATCAATGGACTTATTTTCCTGAATGATTTCTCTGTAGGATGCAATGCTGTTTGATAGCATTCGACCCACAGTAGAGAAACTCTTTCAAAATTGCAGTCAGTTCTCCCAAACTGTGCCACTGCCTTATCAACTAAGTTTATGAATATTCTAAATTCTTTGTTGTCCTTTCAACAACGTCATAGCCTCTTTACCAGAGTAGATTTCATCTCAAGAAATCACTTCTGTTGCTTATCCATAAGAATATAATCCTATAATATATATTACAGTAATAAATGAATATATACATATATTACACAAATATAGTATATATCACACTAATATATTGATGTACATATATGTAAATTATATGTAAATATATTAGTATAATATATACATAGTAGTATATATACATTTATATGCACATATATTACTGTAGAGTGTGTGTGTAGGGGTGTGTGTGTATGTGTGTGCATGTGTAGCTTATATCACCTTGGAGGATAAGTGAGGCTCTTATATTTTTATTTTATTTTTTTTGAAACAGAGTTTCACTATTGTTGCCCAGGCTGGAGTGGAATGGCGTGGTCTCAGCTCACTACAACCTCTGCCTCCTGGGTTCAAGCAATTCTCCTGCCTCAACCTCCCGAGTAGCTGGGATTACAGATGTGTGCCACCATGCCCGGCTAATTTTTTATATTTTTAGTAGAGATGGGGTTTCACCATGTTGGCCAGGCTGGTCTCAAACTCCTGACCTCAGGTGATCCACCTGCCTTGGCCTCCCAAAGTGCTGGGATTACTGGCGTGAGCCACTGTGCCCAGCCGGCTCTGATTTGTTTTTTTTGAGACAGGGTCTTGCTCTGTCCCCCAGGCTGGAGTTCGGTGGTGCAATCTCAGCTCACTGCAACCTCTGCTTCCTGGGCTCAAGTGATCCTCCCACCTCAGACACCCGAGTAACTGGGATTACAGGTGTGCACCACCATGCCATCTGATTTTTGTATTTTTTGTAGAGATGGGGGTTTCTCCATGTTGCCTAGGCTGGTCTCGAACTCCCAAGCTCAAGCAATCCGCCCGCCTCGGCCTCCTAAAGTGCTGGGATTACAGGTGCGAGCCATTGTGCCCAGCAGGCTCTGATTTCTTTAAAAAAAAAAAAAAAAAGGAAGTGAAACAGGAAAGAAAAAATTTATATATATATTTTTTTCTTTCCTGTTTCACTTCCTTTTTTTTTTTTTTTTCCTGTGGAGATGTGGTCTCACTATGTTGACCATGCTGTTCTGAAACTCATGGCTGTTCTCCTGCCTCAACCTTCCAAAATGTTGGGATGACAGGTGTGAGCCATCTTGCCTGGTGAGCAGTAATATTTTAAAAAACCTTTTATTCTGAGAAGTAGGTCTCAACAGTGGTCTTAAAATACTCAGTAAACTGCCTGTAGTCCCAGCTACTCGGGAGGCTGAGGTGGGAGAATCGCTTGAACCTGGGAGGTAGAGGTTGCACTGGACCAAGATTGTACCACAGCATTCCAGCCTGGGCGACAGAGTGAGACTTCTTCTCCAAAAAAAAAAAAAAAAAAAAATACTCAGTAAACCATGCTGTAAACAGACATGCCGTCATCCAGGTTTTGTTGTTCTATTTCTAGAGCACAGACAGAGTAGATAGCATCATTTAAACAATTTATTTGATTGATATATGGATTTACATATTTTGGGTATATGTGTGGTAATACATTCGTGAAATCAAATTAGGATAATTGGGATATACATCATCTTATCTCTTCTGTACACTAGGAACCTGTGAATTACTCTCTTCTAGCTATTTTGAAATGTACAGTCAATTAATATTAACTACAGTCACTCTACTGATCTAGCAGACACCAGGACTTATTTCTTCCGTGTGTTTATTCGTGCACAAGATTTAGCATTTTTTTTTTTTTTTTTTTTGAGGGAGAGTCTTGCTTTATTGCCCAGACTGGAATGCAGTGGGACAATCTTGGCTGGTTCCAAAGAATGGACAAAGAATGGACAAAGTATTGCCCACTCCAGTCTGGGCAATAAAGCAAGATTCTCTCTCAAAAATGAAGAATGACGAACCAAAGAATGAAGGCCCAAGGAGAGGAGAGAAACCAAAGAATAGCCAGCCAGTGGAGCCATGAGAACCCACGACATTTATTGAGTTCATGTCTTATGTAGGTGCAGTTTGTGGTGCCCCCAAACGATGAAAATAATTGTTTTTGTAGAAGATACATAGAAAATCGTGGGCCACAGACTACCGTAACAGATGGAAAAATGATAAAGTTTGAAATATTGTGAGAATTACTAAAACATAGCAGAGATATTAAGTGGGCACATGCTATTGGAAAAATGGCACCAATAGACTTGCTTAAGGCAGGGTTGCAACAAACCTTCAATTTGTTTTAAAAAAATTGCAATATTTGCAAAGTGCACTAAAGCAAAGCACGATTAAAGGGAGGTATGCCTGTGCATGTTTATTTTTGGCTGGTTGATTGTTCTTCAGTTGATACACTGTCTATTATTTTGTACCAACCAAAGAGGCCTGGGAATGCTTGAAGCCATACGTCCAATTCCAAGGTTTTCTAAGCCCAGGATGATCATCATCCAACAGCATTTAGAACACAGCGACCAAATAGTCCAATGACCGGTTTCACTGGAATGACAGAAGCCTAGGAATGCATCCAGGATAAACTTTCTTCCCCATTGAGCTTCAGTAGTAGGCCCCAGCTGCTACCCCTTTAGGCTGTCCTACCTCCCTTCCAAGGATCCTGGTGGTTGCAAGTCCAGAACTGGCTCATACCTGAGGGAATGGGCCAAAATTGCCTCCTTTAGGTGGTCCCAATCCCTCCTCAGGCCCCTGATGGCCATTGATTAGAGGTTTCGAATCCAGAAAACAGGTCAGTCTAGGTGCCCTGTCCCATCTATACTTAACCAAAAGCCCTGAATTTTCAGAGGAACCAAGAAAAAGATGACCCTTCCCACTGAAGCCTTTATACACTTGGCAATAAATAAATCAGTAGGAAAATACTTTCAAATTTATTTTTTGTTAATAAACATAGGTGACTTTTTTTTTTTTTTTTGAGACAAAGTCTCGTCACCCAGGCTGGAATGCAGTGGCGTGATCTTGGCTCACTGCAACCTCTGCTGCCTCGGTTCAAGTGATTCTCCTGCCTCTAGAATGGCTGGGACTACAGGCATGCGCTGCCATGCCTGGCTAATGTTCTCTATTTTTAGTGGAGACGGGGTTTCACCATGTTGACCAGGCTGGTCTGTAACTCCTGATCTCAAGAGATCCACCCGCCTCGGCCTCCCAAAGTGCTGGGATTACAGGTGTGTGCCACCATGCCCGGCCTGACAAAAAATTTTTAAAAGAATCTAACAGGTACTGGATAGTGCTGCTTTTCAATCCCTGCAGCTCTCTTCTAATCTTTGTTAAGATGGAGGCACAGGCCGGGTGCGGTGGCACACACCTATAATCCCAACAGTTTGGGAAGCTGAGGCAGGCAGATTGTTTGAGCCAAGGAGTTTGAGACCAGCCTGGGCAACATGGTGAAACTCCACCACTACAAAAAAAAAAAAAAAATTAAAAAATTAACTGGGGCTATTGGTGTGTGCCTGTAGTTCCAGCTACTCATGAGGCTGAGATGGGAGGATCACTTAAGCTTAGGAGACCAAGGGACTCAGGCTGCAGTGAGCCATTTATTGTGCCACTATACACCAGTCTGGGCAACAGAGTGAGATTCTGTCTCAAAAAAAAAAAAAAAAAACCAGACAAAAAACCAAAAACTGGAGGCTTGGGAGTGCTTGGGTCTTACATGTGGTGTTATTGACTGAGCATGGCCCTACTCAAGCTCCCCTATGGACATTTTCTCTTCCACCTGTGCCTCTTACTCTGCCATGCTTCCTGGTTCTGTCTCTCCCTTGCTTGTCTTATTTTCCATGTCTCCTGGGTCATCTAATATGCTCTAATACTGGGCTGGGTGCAGTGGCTCATGCCTGTAATTCCAGAACTTTGGGAGGCTGAGGCAGGTAGATCACTTGAGGTCAGGAGATGGAGATGAGCCTTGTCAACATGGTGAAACCCTGTCTCTTATACTAAAAATACAAAAAGTAGCCAGGCGTGGGGGCATGCACTTGTAATCCCAGCTACTCAGGAGGCTGAGGCAGGAGAATTGCTTGAACCTGGGAGGCAGAGACTGCAGTGAGCTGAGATCGCGCCACTGCACTCTACCCTGGGCAGCAGAGTGAGACTCAAAAAAATATACGTATATATATGAATATATATATATATGAGGTGATATATATATATATATTTTTTCATTCCAATACTTTACCCCGAGCCCTGAATTTTTTTTTATTTTTAGAGACAGCTTATCTCTCTGTTACACAGGCTGGAGTACATTGGTGTGATCACAGCTCCCTGCAGCCTCGAACTCCTGGGCTCAAGTGATCCTTCCACCTCAGCCTCCTGAGTAGCTGGGACTACAGGTGCATGTCATGGTGCCTAGTGAATTAAAAAAAATTTATTTTTGTGGAGATGGGGCCTTGCTTTGTTGCCCAAGCTAGTCTCAAACTCCTGGCTGCAAGTGATTCCCCCACCTCAGCCTCCCGAAGTGTTGGGATAACAGGCATAAGCCACCGCACTGGCCCCAAAATCTTCCTCTACAACCTAGAGCGCCTCCTTAACCTTCAGACCTAGGCAGCCAATGACCTGATAGTTACTTGAATGTCTTACAGGCTCCTCAATACAAGATACTCAGAACTAATCACTTCTTCCTCTGAAGCCTCTTATTTCTGTTTCCAATCTCAGTTAATAGCGAACACTTTCCCCTCAGTGATCTTGCACACAAACTCAGGAGGCATCCTGGGCCCTCCCTGTCCCTCATCCCCAATCACAAGCCCTACTAACACACCCTCTATTATTAGACCTTCAGTCCAAATGTCCATCAGCGAACCCTGTCACCTTTATCTCCGAAATGTGTTCATCCATCCATTAAAAAATTTTTGTACAATTAATGTGTTGAAAATGTGTCAATTAAAAATAAGAATTTTGCTGGGTGCGGTGGCTCATGCCTGTAATCCCAGCACTTTGGGAGGCCAAGGTGGATGGATCACGAGGTCAGGAGTTTGAGACCAGCCTGACCAACATGGTGAAACCCCGTGTCTGCTAAAAATACAAAAATTAGCCAGGAGTGGTGGTGTGCACCTGTACTCCCAATTACTCAGAGGCTGAGGCAGGAGAATTGCTTGAACCTGGGAGGCAGAGGTTGCAGTGAGCTGAGATTGCGCCACTGCACTCCAGCCTGGGTGAGAGAGCAAGACTCCATCCCAAAGAAAACAAAACAAAAAACAAACCTGTTTTTTCACCATTCACTACTAAAATCCCATTCAATGCTACGTCACTGACCTGGTCTACTGTAGTAGCCTTGTTACTGGCCCGCTCATTCGTTGCCTCTTTGGCAATGTTGTCCCTGATGACTCAAGTCCCACTCTATCACATTTTTCCATTTTCTTTACAGGCCTTATCGCTTTCTGAAATAATCTTCGTTTTTGTTGGTAACAGAGTTCTTTAGTGATGAAATAGTCACCCTGGGCTAGGTGCAGTGGCTTACGCCTGTAACCCTAGCACTTTGGGAGGCCAAGGCGGGTGGATCATTTGAGGTCAGGAGTTCGAGACCAGCCTGGCCAACATGGTGAAATCCTGTCTCTACTAAAAATACAAAAAAAATGAGTTGGGCATGGTGGCGCGTGCCTGTAATCCCAGCTACTTGGGAGGCTGAGACATGAGAATCACTTGAACCCAGGAGGCAGAGGGTTCAGTGAGCCGAGATTGCATCACAGCACTCCAGCCTGGGTGAAAGAGTGAGACCCTGTCTCAAAACAAAAGCAAAAAAAAAAAAAAGGCAAAATGCTGGACAAGGTGGTTCCCAAAAGAGGATATGTAAAGCACATGGGACAGAAGGAATTTTAATCTTTTTTAAAATATATTTTTCTCCTTTTTTTTTCATTGTCATAATTCCCCAAACAAAGAACTTTAATCTTGTACTTCTCTCCCCTAGGTGTTCTGGCTTGCGGGCTCGCTGCTCATCATTGGCCTGGCCTCTGTGGTCATCCCCACCATCGGGTGGCGCTGGCTCATCCGCATCGCCTCCATCCCAGGCATCATCCTCATCATGGCCTTCAAGGTGGGGAAGCACTCATGGCTCCTTCCTGTCTCCTCCTCCTGCTGGTCCAGTGGCCTTCATGCCCCACAAATATCTATCTTTGTTTTTTTTTTTCCTCAAGACAGAGTTTCTGTTTGTTGTCTAGGCTGCAGCGCAGAGACATGAGCTCGGCTCACTGCAGCCTCTGCCTTCCAGGTTCAGGTGATTCTCCTGCCTCAGCCTCCTGAGTAACTGGTATTACAGACATGCACCACCACACCCAGCTAATTTTTGTATTTTTAGCAGAGAAGGGGTTTCATTACGTTGGCCAGGTTGATCTCGAACTCCTGGCCTCAAGTGATCTGCCCACCTCAGCTTCCCAAAGTGCTGGGATTACAGGCGTGAGCCACTGTGCCTGGCCATCTTTCTCACATCCTATTACCTTTACTGGGGAGTCTATCTCAACCAGCGAGCAGCCCTCACTCCCTTAGCCTGCCTCATTGCCCCTCTTCCTAGAAGTTTTCCCTGACAGCTCTGTTGTGTTTTTGCTGACTCCACTTTATCCTTCAGCACCCACCTGTTGGATGCTGTTGACATATTCCCAGGCCACCACAGGCCTACTGGCTGGCGTGTCCTCCTCTCCCACTCTGTAAGCTGTTCAACTGTAGAATCATCATCTTCCTTAGTTTGCAGTAAAATTCTACTCATTGTTCAAAGACAAGATTGACCGCTCGGCAGAACAGGGTTTTACTTTGGTGTCACCTACCCTATGGAATCAAAGAATGTCAGAATTCAGAAAGGTCCTTGATAGCCATTCATTCTAAACCTTGACTCAATACAGGTGCCATCTTCCAGTAAGTCACCAAAATGACCAACACAAAGGGAAAGAGGAGAGGTCACCAGACCTCTTAGACAACATGGAGTTGTTCCTTTGGCCACATACCTATGAATCTGTAAGAAAGGTGATACTGTAGACATCAAGGGAATGGGTGCTGTTCAAAAGGAATGCCCCCAGGTGTTACTGTGGCAGAACTGGAGGAGTCTATGATGTTATTCAGCATGCTGTTGGCATTGTTGTAAACAAGCAGGTTATGGGCTAGATTCTTGTTAAGGGAATTCGTGTGCATATTGAGTACACTAAGCACTCTAAGAGCCGAGATAGCTTCCTGAAACTTGCAGAAAATGATCAGAAAAACAAGCCGGCTGGGCGCGGTGGCTCACACCTGTAATCCCAGCACTTTGGGAGGCCAAGGCGGGTGGATCACTAGGTCAGGAGTTCGAGACCAGCCTGACCAACATGGTGAAACCTCGTCTCTACTAAACATACAAAAATTAGCTAGGCGTGGTGGTGCGTGCCTGTAATCTCAGCTATTCAGGCTGAGGCAGGAGAATCGCTTGAACCTGGGAGGTGGAGGCTGCAGTGAGCCGAGATCGCACCACTGCACTCCAGCCTGGGTGACAGAGTGAGACTCCATCTCAAAAAACAAAACAAAACAAAAAAGGAAGCCAAAGGGTAGGTTACCTGGGTTCAGCTGAAGCACCAGCCCTTTTCCACCCAGAGAGGCACATTTGTGAGAACCATGGTGGGGAGCCTGAGCTGCTGGAAACTTCTCCCTATGAATTCATGGCATATTAAGTGCAAAAAATAAAAAGACCTCTGGACTGTTTTTAAAAAAGGGATTTTGGAGGTGTTGAAGGAGGGGACTTCTGACTGTGGAAGAGATTATGTGCTGGGAAACTGTCATATTGCTGTGGAGGCTGGGCATGAGGCAAGAGGAAAAAGGCCGGAAAATCAAAAGTGTCAGAATAACCAAGAGGGGACCCAAACTGCCCTCTCTGGCCATGGGAATGTGGGGCCAGGTGCTGCTGTGGAGGTGCTTTTTTGAGGAAGAGCCAACAGCCTTGATTGCGTGAGGTGTGAGAGATGGGAGGTGGTCAGAGTTGAGTCTCCAGCTTCAGTGGAAGCCCATACTATTTTCTGCGTGCAATGTTCAAACTATTCAGCGTTCAGTGGGTTGAGGGCCTTGACAGTCAGAACTGATTCTTCACCATGTGGGTGCTGGAGCCCCCTGCTCCTGTCACCCTTTGGCGGTTGCATGGTGGGGAGGTCCTGGGGTTCCTGGGGAGGGGGTGGAGAGAGGCGCCTGTGGCAGTGGCTATTTACCAATTGAAAGTGAGAATTGCGTTATGTTAACAACTAGGTTGGGTCCTATTGGTGCTAAACTGAGTATCAGCCTGCCATCATCCTAGAAGGCACTATGATAAGGAGAACATGACCTTTTTTGTTCCAAATCAACTTTGAATCCAACAGAATACCTGCTACATTGCATGCCTTTAAGCTGGCACATACTTTTCCTATCTTGGGAAACTAGGACTGTACAGTGTATAGAGCAATAATAGCTGTACTCCTGGGTTCTATAGCAGTGGCCACTCTGATGTTCTTTGTAATCTCTACCCAGTTTATTCCTGAATCTGCCCGGTTCAATGTCTCCACTGGAAACACTCAGGCTGCCGTGGCCACTCTGGAGCACATTGCCAAGATGAACCGCTCAGTCATGCCGGAGGGGAAGCTGGTGGAGCCCGTCCTGGTGAGTGCTGACACCCGAGGTCTTCTCCCATCACCAGTGGCCACTGGGAAATCCCCTAAGTTGTGGAAGGCTGGAGGGAGGGGGGAGCCTTGCTCTCTAGTCCTGTCCTAGAGGCAGGGCCATGGCCAGGAAAGATGTGAGGCTACATTCATTTTCACTGTGAGCCATGGGACCCTGGTGAGTTACCTACCTTTGTTTTTCTTATCAATAAAATAGGAATATTAACATCCACCTTGCAGAGCTAATCACATGATTTGGCATCATTGTCAATAGATGGGAGATTGTTTTCTTTTTTGTACTGGCCTTGTTTTGTTTTGTTATGAAGGTTTTTTTTTTTTTTTTTTTTTTTTTTTGAGACGGAGTCTCGCTCTGTCACCCAGGCTGGAGTGCAGTGGCCGGATCTCAGCTCACTGCAAGCTCCGCCTCCCGGGTTCACGCCATTCTCCTGCCTCAGCCTCCCGAGTAGCTGGGACTACAGGCGCCTGCCACCTCGCCCGGCTAAGTTTTTGTATTTTTAGTAGAGACGGGGTTTCACTGTGTTACCCAGGATGGTCTCGATCTCCTGACCTCGTGATCCGCCCGTCTCGGCCTCCCAAAGTGCTGGGATTACAGGCTTGAGCCACCGCGCCCGGCCGTCTTTCTTTCTTTCTTTCTTTCTTTCTTTTTTTTTTTTTTTTGAGATGGAGTCTCACTCTGTTGCTCAGGCTGGAGTACAGTGGCACAATCTTGGCTCACTGCAACTTCCGACTCCCTGATTCAAGCAATTCTCCTGCCTCAGCCTCCCAAGTAGCTCAGACTACAGGCGCCCGCCACCACGCCCAGCTAATTTTCGTATTTTTAGTAGAGACGGGGCTTCACCATGTTGACGAGGATGGTCTCAATCTCCTGACCTTGTGATCCGTCCAGCGAGGCTGTCTTTTCATTGCATTCTAGCGTATGACTGATTTTTGTCCATGCATTAGTCTTATTACTTGAAGTATTTCTTTAACCTTATATGGCTTTGGACCTTACATTTTTTTGTTGTAGTTGTCTAAACTGAAGTTTTTTGTTTTTTTTTTAATAATTTCAACTTTTATTTAGTTATGTTTGTGATGGGGTCTCACTCTGTCACCCAGGTTGGAGTGCACTAGTTCTGTCATAGCTCACTGTAGTCTTGACCTCCCAGGCTCAATCCTTCTACTTCAGCCTCCAGAATAGCTAGGACCACAGGTGTGTGCCACCACACCCAGCTAATTTTTAAATTTCTTGTAAACATGGGGTCTTGCTTTGTTGCTCAGGCAACTCCTGGGGTCAAGCGATCCTCCCTCCTGGGCCTCCCAAAGTTAGGGGATTACAGGTGTGAACCACTGTACCCAGCTGACTCTTATTTTAGATTCAGGGGGTGTGTGTGCAGGTTTGTTACCTGGGTCTATTCCCTGATGCTGAGGTTTAGGGTATCATTGAACCTGTCATCCAGGCAGTGAGCATAGTACCCACTAGTTAGATTTTCAGCCCTTGCCCTTTCCCTCCCCACTCTAGTAGTCCGCAGTGTCTATTGCTGTCCTCTTTATGTCCATGAGTATCCAGTGTTGAGCTCCCACTTAAAAGTGAGAACATAGGGTATTTGGCTTTCTGTTCCTGCATTAATTTTCTTAGGATAAGGGACTCCACCTGCATCCATGTTGCTGTAAAGGACATAATTTCATTCTTTTTTGTGGCTGCCTTAAACTGTTTAAAAATTTTAAAAAGGCTGGGTGCAGTGGCTCACGCCTGTAATCCCAGCACTTTGGGAGGTCGAGGCGGGTGGATCACCTGAGGTTGGAAGTTTCAGACCAGCCTGACCAACATGGAGAAACCCTGACTCTACTGAAAATTCAAAATTAGCCGGGCGTGGTGGCACATGCTTGTAATCCCAGCTACTTAGGAGGCTGAGGCAGGAGAATCACTTGAACCTGGGAGGCGGTGATTGCGATGAGCCGAGATCGCGCCACTGCACTCCAGTTGGGGCAACAAGAGCGAAACTCCATCTCAAAAATAAATAAATACAAATTTTTTAAAAAATCATTGTCTTTGAGAATGAAGGGCCTCAAATTCTATTTTCTCTCATGTTAACATATTGAAAGTAGCTTTGGCTAGTATTTTCCATGTGCATTTTTTCAACTCTTTATTTTTAACCTTTCTATACTGCTTTGTTTTAAATGTATTTCTTGAGCCCGGGTGTGAGATAGCTCATGCCTGTAATCCCAGCACTTTGGGAGGGTGAGATGAAAAGATCACTTGAGGCCAAGATTTTGAGACCAGCCTGGGCATTAAAACAAGACCCCTCTTTACGCGCCCCACCCCCTGCAAAAAAAAACAAAGGCCAGACATAGTGGTGTACACCTGTAGTCCCAGCTAACTACTTCAGAGGTTGAGGCAGGAGGATTGCCTGAGCCCGGGAGGTCGAGGCTGCAGTGAGCTATGGAGGCTTGAGTCCAGGATGTCAAGGCTGTAGTGAGCTATGATCGCACTGCTGTCCTGGACCCTGTATTTTAGTAGCCTGGACAACAGAGCGAGACCCTGTCTCAAAAAAAGTATCTCTTGTAAAGCTATAGTTTATTTTTTTTCCCCCTTTCTTTTCCTTTCTTTTCTTTTTTTCTTTCTCTCTTTTTTTATTTTTATTTTTGAGAAGGAGTCTCCCTCTGTCGCCCAGGCTGGAGTGCAGTGGCCGGATCTCAGCTCACTGCAAGCTCCGCCTCCCAGGTTTATGCCATTCTCCTGCCTCAGCCTCCCGAGTAGCTGGGACTACAGGCGCCTGCCACCTCGCCCTGCTAGTTTTTTTTTTTTTTTTTTTTGTATTTCTTAGTAGAGACGGGGTTTCACCGTATTAGCCAGGATGGTCTCGATCTCCTGACCTTGTGATCCGCCCGTCTCGGCCTCCCAAAGTGCTGGGATTACAGGCTTGAGCCACCGCGCTCGGCCAACTTTTTTTTTTTTTTAATAGAGACAGGGTTTCACAATGTTGGCTAGGCTGGTCTTGAACTCCTGGTCTCACGTGATCCACCCACCTTAGCCTCCCAAAGTGCTGGGATTACAGGCATGAACCACTGCACCCAGTCGATATTCTGTCTTTTGATAATGAGTTGAACCCACTTACCTCTCCTGGCATATTTGGGCTTCTGTCATTTATTTTTATTTATTTATATATTTTTTGAGACAGAATCTTGCTCTGTTGCCCGGGCTGGAGTGCAGTGATGGGATCTCGGCTCACTGCAACCTCCACCTCCCGGGTTCAAGCAATTCTCCTGCCTCAGACCCCCAAGTAGCTGGGACTATAGGCATGTGCCACCATGCGCAGTTAATTTTTGTATTTTTTTAGTAGAGGTGGGGTTTTGCCATTTTGGCCAGGCTGGTCTTGAACTCCTGACCTCAGGTGATCCACCTGCCTCAGCTTCCCAAAGTGCTGGGATTACAGGTGTGAGCCACTGTGCCTGGCCTGTTATTTATTTTGTATTTCTTATGTGTGTGCACAGTTTCAGGAAAATATTTTTTTCTTCTGAATCATGTCTTTCCTTTTCTCCTTGACTAACTTCTGTTGGATTGAGTTTGCCTTTCCCTCCCCTGTACTTCCTTTTATTGACTTGGAATTAATGTACTTTCTTTTATTCTAGAGGTAGCCCTTAACTATTGAAAACACTCCTTTACAATATTTAATATTATTTGCTACCTTTATCTGGTAACTGGTTTTTTTCTTTCTCCTCTCTAATTTATATGGCTTTGGACCTTAAATTCTTTTTTTTTCTTTAAACTGAACTGAAGTTTATTTTTTTTTTTTGTAATTTCAACTCTTATTTTAGCTATTTTTTGTGATGGGGTCTCACTTTGTTACCCAGGTGAGAGTGCAGTGGTGCAATCATAGTTCACTGCAATCTTGACCTCCCAAGCTAGACAATACAAGGACATTAAATATGATCTTGCCAATTACTGTTTTCCAAATCTTGTTTGCCCAGGATTTCAGTTACACTTTGTTCATAAGTTTTTCTAAATTGTCATGATTTTGGAGCCAGTATTTATTTAGATTAATTAACATTTTTATTGATTTTTGCAGTTTTTATTCCTAAGGAGTTTTTTGCATCTCCTTTCTATTGTGTTAATTCGGTTTTATTCTTTTTTTTTTTTTTTTTTTGAGGTGGAGTCTCACTCTGCTGCCCAGGCTAGAGCACAGCGGCGCCATCTCAGCTCACTGAAACCTTCCCTTCCTGGGTCCAAGCGATTCTCCTGCTTTAGCCCCTCAAGTAGCTGGGATTACAGGCATGGGCTACCACCCCCACCTAATTTTTGTGTTTTAGTAGAGGTGGGGTTTCACCATGTTGGCCAGGCTGATGTCGAACTCCTGACCTCAAATAATCCACCTGCATTGGCCTCGCAAAGTGCTGGGATTACAGGTGTGAGCCACAACGCCCAGCCAATTTGTTTTATTTTTTGTTTATTTTATTTTTAATTTTTTGAGATGGAAGCTTGCTTTCTCACCCAGGCTGGAGTGCAGTGGCGCAGTCTCAACTCACTGCAACCTCCACCTCCCGGGTTCAAGTGATTCTCCTGCTTCAGCCTCCCGAGTAGCTAGGATTACAGGTGTCCGCCACCAAACCTGGCTAGTTTTTATATTTTTAGTAGAGATGCCATTTCACCATGTTGGCCAGGTTGGCCTCGAACTCCTGACCTCAAGTGATCTGCCTGCCTTGGCCTCCCAAAGTGCTGGAATTACAGGCTTGAGCTACTGTGTCCAGCTGATTTGGTTTTATTCTTAATATTGAAATGTTAGATCTCTGTGGGTTTAATTGGGTACAAGAAACATGCTACAGATTTAGCTTTGTTATATCCACATGACTAACCAGTTGCTCTGGGGGGTGTGTGTATGTGTGTGTATATTATATATAGGTATATATTATATACACACACACATATACACATATATATACACACACGTATACATATATATATATATATATATATATATATATATATATTTGAGATGGAGTCTC